AATATTACTATAAAACTTACAGCTACTTGTTACAAATCCAAATCAGATTCAGAAGATGAACTTTCAGAACCAAGATTTATAATAACTGGCTCGATCATTTTATCAGTAATATTGTCCAGCTTCCATATTTTTTCCTCTTCTTTAATAATGTGATTTACTGCCTTTTCCCAGTTTTCAGGTTTTACATTATTTACGGCCTCCAAAAACAACTGTTTAACATCATGAATTTTAAAAGTGGTATTTTTTCTTGAAACTTCACTCTTTATCTGTGCCCATACCAGTTCAATCGGGTTTAATTCACAATGATGTGGTGGGGATCTAAGTACTGTCATTCCACGATTTTTGGCAATTTCATCAATTTCGTATTTTTTAAATTTTTCTTTATGAAGGGCACACAACGAATAAAGTTCCTTTCTTATAGATTCTTGATGGTACGTAATATTTTTTGAACTCAGCCAATTCTGCAAGTCTTTTTTTAACCACTTGATTGTGGGCAGTCCTTCTATAAGTCTGGAGTGATAACTTGCATTATCCATTACTATTACACAGTTCTTAGGAAGAAGATCTATCATTTGTTCGAACCATTCTTGAAAGACATCACCGTTCATGTCTTCATGGTAGTCACCGGTACGAGTTGATTCATAAGTTAATAAACCACCTTCAACAAAACCGGCTGAACTGCCAATGTGTACTATTATCAGCCTGCGTCCCTTTCCTGATGGTGGGTTTAAACCAGTAGATAAGTTATTTACAAAAGCGTGCCTTTGACTTGTAACAGTTTCATCCTGCCAAAATTTATTTGGTGTATGACCCTCGTTGATCCATGTTTCATCAAGATAAAATATTTTTCTTTTTTTGGTTTCTTATTTTCCTTTATGGTTCTTAGAAAATGTCTTCTCCATATGACAATATCGCTTCTTTCTAATAAAATAGACTTTCTGGGATTCTTTTTCCAGCGGAAGCCTATTTCTTTTAAAAGTTTCCATAATGTACTTCGACTCATTTCTGGGTAATCCTTATCATCTCGAACTGAGACAAGAACTTTATCCAATGTTGGAAATTCTTGTCTAAAGAAGAATTCATGCACTTTCCGTCGAAGTCCTTCTTTAAAATGATATCCTATTTGAAATTTTGGTTTCCCTGGAGCATTACGTGGCATTTGAAAACTACCACATTTCTCTTCTTTAATAACTCTGTAAATCGTAGATTTCCCAACACCAAGTGTACTGCTAACTAACTCAACGGTCTCATCAACACTTTCACATAAACGTTTGTCATGTAAATGATTTAAAACAATTAAATATTAATGTTTTTTCATTAACTGTTAAAGGACCAATTTTTCGGCGTTTACACGGCACTTCCAAATTTTCCATAACACTAGTATATACAATAAACTGCACCTTGCAACTGAAGTACCTAACTTTTAGTGAACTGTTAAGAATTTTGAATACGCCACTTGGACCTTCCTACAAAATGGAAAAACCCACTATCACATTTTCTGTGGAATAAGTTTAGAAGGTAATTATCTAGTCAATTACTGTCGTAGATTCCTGGAATTAAAGAATTAAATGTTTGATTGTTGAAACCCTTACTTCGTGGAATGCACTCATTTCAGATAAAATAAAACGTTTTATTTTATCTAAAGAATTAAACTTTATTTTGCAAATAGGTAGGTACTTATTAAACTTTTATTGGTTATATATAACCAATAAAATAAACATCTTACATTTCTTGCAAATTCATTAGTACCTGTTAACCTCCATCACTCCGACACTGGCAACCTTATTAGGGATTAGTAACCCTCACAACTATTGTATTCTATTCTGCTCCAACCTTTATACCTGGTGGTCATACTCAATTTAAAATTGTTTTCCTATATACTTCTGTAAACTTGTTGACAAATATCTGTTTTTCATTGATTCACCTGTATCAACAGTTTAGGGATTTGCATAAATAATTTATTGTTTTATTACTCTCTCATACATAAAAATACACTATAACAATACTAAATTTTGGACAGTTTCAACAGTATTTTGCTCCTTAAAATCAAATTTGTTTGAAAATTTCTGAAGTAACGTCACTAAAATTTGGGCAATTTACATTTGAAATTTAAAGGTTTTTAAATCATAAATGGATAAGTGGTGAATGGCATCTTCACGTCAGATCTTTTTCTTATAAATTCATATCTCTTCACTTCTTGTAATACTAATTTTACTCTAATTTTTAAAACATTTATTCCTTTTTTAGTTAATATTGACCACGCAGATACTTATCATAGATTTATCAAGACAGACATGAGCTACATTAAGATTGTTTCCTAAATTATTGTCAACTTCTGTATATATCAACTCTTTCATATTTATCAGTAACATTATAAACAAAATATCTTCTCCAATTCTTATGTGTTGTTTATTGAAAAGTTTAAGTTTAAATAAAAATAAAAATGCCATGGAAATATTATCGTAACGATTTGAAACTGTCTTAAAAAAAATAGAGTAATGAATACCTTCTTTCATCTGTAAGAGCAAAAACAACGTTATGGACAAATGTTTGTATGTAGCCCGAGGCCTACACCTTTCGTAGAAATCCACCTTAGAATGGCTAGCAATGAAGATCAATAGTTGTGGCTAGTCAACCAACAAGCTCGGTACAATATTTAACTGCTTGAGTGTTCTACTTTTTCAATAAATTTATCACCTGTTAACGTAATGTGTATGTTTCAAAAATTTAAAGTAATCTATATTTGGACGACTTTCTGCAGAAAAGAACCAACCCACAAAATACATTTTTTTGCTTTATTCAAGGTACCGCTTTGAATAGTGGTTAAAATGCAGAATGGAACCAGGCCACAGCAAGTGCATGCTGCCATCTATCAGGTAGTGAACCAACCCACATTACTTCAGTCACAGAATAATAAACAATCAGAATGCCCACTCTCCATGGAAAATTAAGTACGTGCATCTCGTTCGTGCAGACGTTCCGCCATGTTTTTAAGGGGAAACCAGTGTTGTTTATGTGGTGTGCATAGAAAAATTAACCCGGTTTAATTGACTTACGGCAATCATAGACATACTATACAATTATAATTAATATTGTTAAATTATAATAACATAAATATAATATAATTAAACATAAATATAAACAATTACATAACCTCACAAATCATAGATTGTTTATTATTCTGTGCTTCAGTACTCAATGAAGTAATCTGCAGAAAAAATCCAAGTGGGTTGGTTCCATTCTGCAAAACTTGGGAATCACATAGCATAAAATACTTCAGGATTTAGTTCCTTTCTTCAATGACTAATACTTTTAAGACTTAATACTTAAAGACTGCTGTTTGTGTTATAAAGTAGTGAAAATATTGCAAATTATTAATTATTAACAATTATTGGATAGTAAAACATTTCTTAAACAATGAGTTATAGATCCTCCAGAGGACAACATATACTAAATTTGGTTTTAAATGTTTCAAAAGCAGAAAATGAGGTTAGTTTGGTCACGACTATTTATATTAGCATTTAACTGACTTTTTTTCTTTTTAAATTAGATGGAATCTTCAAACAATGATCGAGATAATAAGTATGATGGCTATGATTCCGCCAAAGATCCAGAATTCAGATAAGAAGATCAATATCAAACTAATACATGACACAATGAAGAAGATTATCATGAAGGTGATGTAATTAGGAAATGGAAGAAGAAGTTATAGAACAGGTAATAAACTCTACTCCAGTCACTACAGGTAAGCCAATGAAGGGGACGAAAAAAGAATATTTTCTATAATAACGCGCACTCAATGCGGCGTCTGCCGCTCTTATGTGTATCGAACCTTAGGGTAATTCCAAGATATCTAAATCTGTCGACTCTCTTGATCTCTTCATTCGCTGCGATTAGCGCCCAAGGATCCAAATTTGCACGGCTGATAACCATGAATTTGGTTTTCCTAACGTTGAGGTCTATGCCGTGGGCTTCAGTGAAAATTTCTTCAGACTTGAGCACGCTGGTTCCAGTATATTACATACAATTCGTGATTACTCAAATGCCATTATGTATTCCTACTTTTCGTAGGGCGGGGATAATCTGCTGGTGTTAACTACGGTCAGAAAGTATATAATATAAAAATACTAAATAAAGATCTGGAATTCTTTTAAACGAAAAAAATAGATAGGGAATAAAGAGAGTAGGACATCTTTCTTATTAAGACAATCAAATAAAAGTTCTGCAAATTGTATATTTCTACACTTCTAACATAATAATTCTAGATACTAATTTAATTTTGTATTAGGTATCGGTCGCGTAGCCACTCCAAAAAGGTAAAAGAAGAAGAAAGGACTCCCGAAGAGTGGTCATGACCGAGTACTGTTACAGTTCAAACTAATTATGCTTTGAATTATGGTGACTGCGGTCACGATATTCTTATTAAAGAAATCTATTTGCACATTATTAACTGTTGGCTTTGTTTTTATGGACTTGGGAAAAGATCATCGTCTATATCGAGAGGAGATCGACGAAAATTCGTCAGAGATTGAAAAAGACATAGATTTTATTTAAAGATCATTGTAAATGATGTTTTATTTTTATAATCCATCCATTATTTATCAGTGGACTTTGTAGAATATATAACTCGAAATTGGAGAAATATATTATACATCTTAAGAAATTCACATTTTTAAAAATTGGTCCCTTTATAAACAATTAGTGCTAAATAAGTTAAATTTTCCTGATCTAGATGCATTAGATCAGGAGTAGGATACACTTAAATTTTTTAACCAAAATGAAGGTTTGTCCATTATACCAAAGTTGTATTTGGCAAAGGAATCATGTTTTATTTGCAAAACATCTTAAAGTGATTCAGGCAGGGAGTCTATGTTGACATGGAATGGGTCAATTGACATTTTAAAAATACTATCGTCACAAGTGTTTGGGAAGTATTTCTGGAACTCCTCAATTAGGCTCTCTCCGAATGGTTTGATATTTGAATTTTCAAACTTGATCCTTCATAAATATCCTTGAAGCGTGTTTCTTCTGAGATTGACTCTACTTTCCGTACATACGCCGATCAGTTTTTGACAAGCATGTTTGTTAAAAAAGTCTGACACTGCGTTCATAACATCAATAGCTTTTGTCGTGGTCTCGAACTCTGTAGAAAAGAGTAGCTCGTCTTTCATTCTTTCGTTTTCAATATAGCGAACATAAACAATTAACTGAGAACATTGTGCTATGTCTGTACTCTCGTCTAGCTGAATAGCAAAAAATGGCGATTGTTTTACTGCATCAACTATCTGGTTTTGTATGTCTTCGGCCATATCATCAATGCAATGTTTCACAGTATTGTCAGAAAGGGTATTTGAGATAACTTTTGCTTACTTGCGTTCCAAGAATAATATCAGCTGCCTTTAACAAACACGGTTTAACAAGCGTCTCTCCAATAATATGGCTCTTCTTTTCTTTAGCAATCAGAAGTGATAGCTCATATGCAGCTTCAAGCACTTTTTCAGATGACTGAGCTGTAGAACCAGTACTATCCAACTTCATGCGTTTGAAATTTGTAGCAAAAAATTCCTTTGGTTTGTCCTTAAAAGAGTTTGGATGAAAAATCTCTTTTAAGACGATCAAGCAACATTGCTTAATACTTCATAGCAAATTACACACTGAGGTTGTTCGACATTATCTTTACGCATACAAATAAACCCATATTTGATATAATCATCATTATACTTGCATTTCTTTGCTTAGTTTATCTGGACTACAATAACTTCTCTCACTCAAATCAACGAAATCAATGAAAGTCAACTACTACAATTAAAATTTCCCAATACGAACGCTTTTACAAAGCAAAAATACGTGCATGATAGACCGAGGTATCTCAAATATTGAGTCACAATTGATTAGCTGCGGTTATCTGGCCTGCATCTGGTGGTCCAGGCTGTGAGGCCGCTCCTGTTGGGAAAATGTTTCTGATTCGGTTTCTTCGCGGATTCCGGTTAAAAAATGTCCCCTTTAAACAAATCTGAAGGGTGCCGGGCGAAATTTTTGGGCAGAAATTGTTTAAACAATTTTTTTAAACAAAGTCCAAAAATAATTTTTTTTAATCTGAAAAACGTTTTTTTAGGGTTTTTGGGCCATTTTAAACAAAAAAGTCTCTTGTCATTTTTCTCTAAAGTTGATAGTTTTCAAGTTATAAGCGATTTAAAGTCTGAAAAACGCAAAAATACGCATTTTTGAGGCTTGAAAACACATTGTAAAATCGGGGCTTATTTTAATTTAGACCGTTGTTTTTTAATTGTTAAGTATGCGCGTACACTCGATTTTTCAGCCGCCGCGGCGCCGCGCTCTACCGTGCGCCTCTATCGTATTTATGCATAGTTTACATATATACTTACAAATAATTATTATTTATTGAGTATATATTTATTTATATCAATTGAGTTATAATATAAATTTCGTCTAAAGTCTAATAATAGTTACATAAAACAATTGTACAAAAGATTGTTAAATAACACACTAATATCACTCAGTAAAAGTATCTTTGTTTTCACAAAAATCTAAATCACATCCTCATAATGGTACACAGTTGACATGATTTTTCTTGCAGTTGCAAGCATTAGTTTTGCAAGTCTTTTTGCATTTGCACGGTTTCCCAACCCACCACTATCAGACATATAATATCCATATTGTGTAAAATCGACAGTTTGATAGCGGGAATATATGACATTTCGCCAAATATATGTTTTAGCGAAAGCTCTTAACAAGTGTTGGTAAAGTGCGTCAGAGGTACAAGGTATATTGGCTAGATTAAATTAAATTTTTCAGTCACACTGTCTTTTCGTCAAAGAGCAGCATTTTGTATTGTTATGTAAAAATCTACTTTAGGTTTTTGCAGTAACTTAATATTGTTGATGTTATTACAAAAAATACAAACTAAATTTTCTTCGGTAAGTTTTCATTTAAGAAGAGGTACGGAAAAAGATATTTTAAATCCATTCACAATTTTTTTAATAACACATTAATAATATAATACCCTTTTAATGGGCATTAAACAATAGTCTTCCTAATGATCGTTTAAGTAATAACAAATCAAGTATGAGCGCGCGATTGTTAAACAGGTAAAAACTTGCATTTTTGCGATAGTATATTGTTTTTAAACACCGCGCAATTTAAAATTAAGTTTACTAATATTAATATTTACTGCATTGTATTATTTAAATAATAATTTAAAAATATTATTTACAATTGATATAAATAAACATATACCCAATAAATAATAATTATATTGTTCAAATTTGGAAGAAAAAAAAACTATATACGGTTATTACATTGCGATGATTGATTTATTTAATTAGCCCAATGACAATAATTAATACCTACATAAATAAATTATGGAAAAAACTATGTTAATAAACTTCAAGGATTTGTTCGGGTTTTTTTGCGTAAGTGTATATGTAAACTATGCATAAGTACGATAGAGGCGAACGGTAGCGCGCGGCGCCGCGGCGCGGCGGCTGAAAAATCGAGTGTACGCGCATATTTAACAATTAAAAAAACATCGGTCTAAATTAAAATAAGCCCCGATTACTCTTCACAATCTTGAAGTTAAATGTTTAAACTTCAATTTAGACACTTGGTAACCTCAAAAATAATAATTTACATATGTGTTTTCAAGCCTCAAAACTGCGTATTTTCGCGTTTTTCAGACTTATAACTCGAAAACTATCAACTTTAGAAAAAAATGACAAAAGACCTTTTTTGTTTAAAATGACCCAAAAAATCTAAAAAAATGTTTTCCAGATTAAAAAAAATATTTTTGGAATTTGTTTAAAAAAAATTGTTTAAACAATTTCTGCCCAAAAATTTCGCCCGGCACCCTTCAGATTTGTTTAAAGGGGACATTTTTGAATCGGAATCCGCGAAGAAACCGAATCAGCAACATTTTCCCAACGGGAGCTGCCTCACAGCCTGGACTATGGTGAAAATCCCTAAATGATCATTTCTTCAGCGGAAAAAGAACATATTAAAGTAATTAAAAGCACAAGTCCATGAGGAAAATACGAAAAATTGTCTAATATAAACATAAAAAAACAGTCATTTGACAATTATATTCAATTATACATATATATTCAATTTATAACATCCAAATACAAGTTTGGGAGAAATTAATGTGTATTTTCAAAATGCCATATAGTTATTTTCGGTCACCGAACAAGACAAAACACTTTTGTTATGTCTCGCAATCTGGTTTGCCCATATTCAATAAAACAATTTGTCAAATTATGCAACCGTCTTTTGTTTTGACCAATACGCCATGTATGGTTATTCTACTGTGATTTCTAGACCACCTGCAATGATTACATAAGTGTGGGTGTTGTGTACAACATAAAAAATGAAAAAATCCAATCGATGAAATCATGAAATCAGATATACCGGTACATTACGGTGAAATCGTCCTTTTCTTCAACTTCACAATATAAACGTCTTGAAGAGCGGAGGACAAAAGGGCAATAAACACCGACATATACAGAGTGGTAAAGCGATCGAGCGTGTCATAGAATTGTTAGAGCTGCATAATAAATCTTTATTATATCAGTTAGAAGGACAAAATAAAATATCTTTACAAATATATAAATTAACTAACAGATTAGGCATCAATAAACAATTATATTTAGTCAAAAAATAGGTTAAATAAGCTACAAGACTGATAATTCACCATTATTAACATGCTACTATAGAAACTACCAGTGGTAGCTGGTGAGAAGAGGCTACGGGGCGCCGCCTTCCCTAGAAAAATGATGTATAGTAGCCTCGTATTTCCGTGAGACTGTGCAAAAATATATGTATCTGTAATAAAATCATTCAACAAAAAGGTACTCTACCAGGAGTCTGTAAAATTATCAATGACTCAGACGTATAATAATACAAAGTTTCCAGATTCCGCTCGATATTAACATTCAGACGTGCCTGGTATAATCTTTTAAAATATGAACCAGATATGAACAATCAACCAATTAAGTTTTCATCGAACTTATGATAAGTCCACGTGGACTAACGGCCAATGAAAACATCGGATATCGCTGTTATGACAAATCATAATGCATTATCTTTTGTCGGTAGACTTATTCATATTTGGGGTAAGATTATATCAGTATTTGACTGAGCTTACGGAGTCATAAAATAAGGGATCAGGTTTCGACCGTCCAGTGCCGAAGGCACCGGACGGGGAAAACTTTTAGGCAAATTTTTAGAATATTTTATTTTTAAATTGCGGATATGACCAACAGATTTTTGGGAGACAAGAATATGTTTAGTAAAATCATAACTGCTACAGCGTTAAGTTAAATTCAAATTTCAAATAGTGAACCGCAAGTTTGTTTGGTAGTGACTTTTTTCAGTGTTCTTTTACGGAAAACATCTTATATTTTACGTTTTTTACTTTTTTTGATACGTTTTTACGTGATTATGTTTTTATACGTTTGATAATTTTAAAATATTGCGTCCGTGGTGCGATAATAATTATGTAGCTGAAGAGACAATGAAACCCTCTAATCGATTGGAAGATTTACAAAGGCGTGTAGTAAAACGTAAGCGACATTTTCACTACCTTTCTGATGATGCCAAACGTATGCTAAAAATTGTTTATGAAGGACTGTGTGCTGAATTGTCAAAATCAGAGGAAATTGCAGAAACATGTTTTTTAACCAGAGTGCCCAAAGCAATCTGCTACAAAATTATAGGAGAAACATCTTCTTCTAAACAGAAGAGAAAGGATTGTGACAAATTCAGACAAATAGAACCGCACTTAATTGAATTTATAACTAGAACAATATACCAAATGTATGCGGCTAATATTTTTCCAACTATTGAAAGCCTTCGAAGTGAATTAGTTCTAAAGTGCATTCTTTCGTGTTCAGCAACAACACTTCGATTATTTCTTAAAGCCAATAATTTTAAGTACAAAACTATAGACAAGAGACAGACATTAATGGAAAGTACTAGAATAATTTCTTTAAGAAACAATTATATCAGACAGATAACTTAGTATCGAAAAATGAAACGAAATATTGTTTATTTAGATGAGACCTGGTATTATACTCATGACACCGTGAAAAAAAAAGTTGGACAAATAATAACAAAAAGTGTTTCAACTCAGTACCGCCCAATAAAAGAAAGAGGATTATAATTTTACACTGCGGTGGAGAAAATGGATGGGTCGACGATGCATTATTAATATCTGCAAAACAAATTACAAACGCGTCTCTGGATTATCATGACGATATGGAAAGTTCAATTTTTGAATCATGGTTTGAAAAAT